TTGGTTTTTGGTTAGCTTCTCGAAAAGACCGCATCGATCACTGATGGTTAGATACATATGCTTACAATACTTATACCCATTGGGTATAAGTATACAGTCGCCAACGCAGTGGTTCTGCCGTCAGTTCCTCGTTTGCCTGCATTTCCTCACATAATTGCTTTATAAAAGGGGCGCAAAAATTCGGCTCAACTACACTGATAGCTCATCTGAAAAAGTTCAATCCATTTAGAGTATTTGTTATTGACCAAATAATTGGTTGAAAATATTGGACAACTTCTTCGTTGTTTTCTGTATCATAATTTCATCAACATTTTACATGCATTTCCAGAGAAGTGAAAATAGAACTCACCGATGATTCCTCATCTCTGAAGCGCTCATCCAATGGACTTTTCGAGCTCTTTCTACACAGCTGCGGCGGAGCTGGCGCTGTGCCACGTTCGGGAACTCTTCCTCGAAGAGGACAAACTGACTACATGTGCGAAGTGGATCCAGTGGATAAGGTGAGGCCACACTGTTCTATCAAATGATAGCAAGACTTCCCGGTGCGTTTTTACCGTTAATACAAGGAGGAACTCACTTATTTCTCTATTTCCTTCTGGATCACGTCGCGATTCTTCGAATCGAGGCAGTGCACTTTCCAGATAAAGGAGTAAACGTTGTTTAGCCAAATGCTGATTTGTGGCCCAATTAGGCTAACAACGAAAGGCAGCGTGATTTGATATATTTACAAAATTCGGTTGCAACCTAATTGAATGGCTAGCTCAGCAATGTTAGGAAAACCGATGATTTTTGAGTCTTCGCCCTGTTTAATATAATTTAATCCAGCGAGGAAGACGTCGTTCTTTGGCTAATCTGGATTTGCTTGACGCTTCTGAAAGTACACATCCGGCCAGCAGTGTTGGAGGGACTATTGTCAGCAGTGAGTTTTGTTAGCTTTTTTTGGTAAAGCTTCATTTTTGCACTACTATTTGTTCAGGGCGGGCAGGAGAACATCTTGCAGAGCTGTATACCTCCAATTCGGAAAATTTTTACAATGATTCCGCTAGGTTGGTTTTATTGAAGTACAGCAAAATGCTGAAGCGCCTATTTCATTACACTCATTACATGTGAAGCCAGCGGAAGCTTATTTCTGAGTTTGTACCATAGCAGAATGGTAGAGCATAGACCTCTTATCGGTTTCAGGTTCTCGGCAACGGCATCTTCGTCGCTTTACGAGCCGCTGTGTGCTAATGGCGGCTACAACGACGGGGGTAAGGTGCGTCGACGAAAACCGCGTAAGGAGCGTTTTCGAAAGGCATATGTGCCGAGCACGATAAGCTCAATAACAGAAAGCAGGTAAGCAATTTGCAGTTATTTTCATTTGTTCCGCTGATATATTGTTAAAAGTTTATATGATTTAGTATGACTAGCTTGTCTCTTCCAAGGATACTAGAAGTGAACTTGTCGATGAGATCTACACCGTACCTCGGTATTTCCGTTGGAAGTTTTCAGGGTAGCATACTCGTCAGCGAAATATTGCCTGGTGAGAGCATTGTACCACGCTGAATTGTGGACTATATTTTATTCTCTCATGGGGATTTCAAGCAAATTCTGAGCTAATAACTCAGTTTTGCAGAAGGCACCTTGATAATTAAGTTTATAGACGGCGCTGTTGCAAAGGATGGCCGTATAGAAGTCGGTGATCAAATCGTCCAAGTAAACAATCGATCATTTGAGAATCTCACGGAGGCACAGGCCGTGCGTGTTCTCCGGGAAGTTGCCGCAGCAAAAAAGTTTGTTTTAGTCCATCTAAACTCTTGCATTTCTAATCTTGGAGGATTTACAAGCCCTGAAAAATTTATTATAGGCCGTTGGTGTTGTTTGTTGCGAAATATTCTCGAGGCAATGATTATGATCCGCTTTCAACGCTTGCATCAGAAACGCTTCCACTCGACGTTTCACTTTGGGTTCAAACCGCCGCGTACGTCCATTTTGAAGGAATTTCTTTTCTTTTGTAAAGAGCTCTACTTTTCTGTGCTCAGGATTATAGTGATTTTACTTCATTGTTTCAGGCAGTGCTCTGAGCGACAGCGCATTTATCGTGAAAGGGGATTGTCTGATGAGCTGACGGAGACGTTTGACGAAAATACGCTAGGTACCATGAGGGAAACCGACGATGAGGAGGTGTGCTCATTATGTCCTGCACAAAGCGTTTGGAATAACTGTACTAGCTGTGAAAATGAGATATAAGGTATTGCTATTTGTTTTGAATGTTTGATCTAGGAGCGAGCGCTGTACGAGCAAAGACGGCATGGTGTGCCTCAAGTGAATATTGAGGAGCTTGAGAGAAGGCGAGAAAATGAGCAAAATGGTAATAATTCTATTGTAATTATTTCATCTCGTTTAAATAACCCTGAATTACATTGGTTATAATTTTTTTTGACTCATTGCCTGCATTTTTGTTTGTGCCGGCTATGGTTGTGATTCGAAGTCGTAGTTTGTTGTCATTGCTAGCGAAGTTTAATGCTCTATTAATGATAGTTAAATCGTAAATTGCAGAGCATAAAGCTACTCAACGTCTGTCAATAACAATGGATCCCGTAATAATCTTGAGAGCGCTTGCGAGGCCAGATTCTGGTTTGCAGGTGAAAAACAGAAAGTGGCTGAAAATCCTTGTACCCATGTCATTTATAGGTGAGCCATTTGAATGATTTTCATATTTGTTCCTCAATTCCTCACTTATACTCCAGGCCGTGATCTCGTTGATTGGTTGCTGGAGCATGTAGAAGATTTAAGCGATAGGAAAGCGGCACGCCATTACGCAGCTGAATTGCTCAAGGCTGGGCTTATCCGTCATGTAGTCAGCAAGCTTACTTTTACAGAAAAGTGCTACTATGTCTTTGGTGGTATGTTTTGTCCTTCTTATATGCAGTATAATGGCATGGAGAGATTAAGTATCAAAACTTGTTAATCCTCTAATTGTTCAGATGCAGTAGTTGGTGTCAGGGGCGGTGCTGATAGCACTCAGAATAGTGGAGGAACAGCGAAGGTTGAGGCGACGACAGAGGTGACCTACGTGGGTTCACCGGCGCCCACTGGCGGTAATTTTTGTTCGAAATTCGGAGCAGTTATTTGTGTATCATTCTATTTCTTTTGGCATGATACAGAATTTTTGATTTCATTATTTCTTTTTTACGGCAGTTTGACATCGCCGGCCAATGCGTGGCTCGCACAAGCCCCCATCGATGTGTAATGAGAGAGTTGATTTAGAATCCGTCCACCCCGGTGCTTGAACTTGAAATATAGACATTTGACCCCTTTTCTGGGAGCTTCTATCCATTTATATCGATCCCTAATACGTTCTTTAATGAGTACTTTTTTATAGTAAGCATAACCCACTAAAGGCGTTTCATCAGATACGCTTAACACACCTTGAACATTGCGTATCCTCGCCGTTTCTTCTGGTCCCTTAATTATCTTGGAACCGAAGTATGGGTTTCTGAAGTTAGTAGTGTTCATCACTGGTCTTCTTCATATCCTCCACCAACCTGCTTTCCTCTTTCACTCATTTGTTCTTGATCTCTGGGCCAATCTGGATCGATTGAGAAGTTCTTGCTCTTAGCGCTGTCCATTTCGATGCACGCTTCTCACAATGGAGGGCTCCCCTCAGTTCATGAGTGTTTTGTACATTCTGGTCTATGGCTCATCCATTCCAAACCTGGCTAACCTTCCAGATATGCCAATTCGGAATACGACAATGTGGTGCGTGTTCCTTGCTGTGCTCAAAATCACCATTGGCGCTACACTTTAGCGTGATCGCGCGTGACCTTATGTTGCCCGCCCATCTATGTATGTAGTAGGAGTAGAATGTTTTACAGTTCTGAAGGGGGTCCACTGCCTGGTAAAGGTTGTTGTTGTCTGTTTATGCCATCACTGACCACGATAAACACGGCACGTTCCCCAAAATGCAGAGCACTTTTACTTTTTCTTTTCTAATTTTAGGCCACCACGGTAACGTTTTACGACCATTCGGCCAGCAACAGCCCGCAGGACCGCATCAGGTAGCCGATCAAACTTGGCCGTTCAGCCCGATAACGGTGTTCGATTCGTCACGAAGGTTTAGAAATGGCTGTGAAAGTCCAATGGTACGTTGCTTATGAAGACTATGAGGTTCAAGTTGCTTAGAATGCTTTTCTGCTTTTGAAGTCGGAACATTTCCATCTTTCCAAATGAGCTGGAAAGCGCAT